TTCTTGATTCCTTTATATCTCTCTTGCTCAATATTGCACTCCCTCCTGTTTCTTAGTGTTGACTTAGAACATACAGTTCAATTGAATTTTGTCTTTTTGGATAGATTGATTTTTTGTTGTTGTTGTTATTGTTGTTGTTTCTTGGCCATATCCAGAGGTGCTCAGGGCTTACTCCTAGCTCTGCACTCAGGTATCACTCTTGGCATGCTCAGCGGAAATCATATGGGATGCCAGGAATGAAACCAGGTGGGACTCATGCAAGGCAAGCGCTTTACCCGTTGTATTTTCTCTCGGGCCACGATGAATAGTTTTAATTAAAAAGGACATACAATTTGGTATGTACATATGAAAATACATGATAGTTCATATTCCATACTCATTATAAATATTTTTTGTAAGAAAGATTATCTCAAGGTTCATGTATGTTTTACTCTTTCAGGTTCATCTTAGTGTCACATTTGATTTTTAAGAAATAAGAGATTAAGAAGAGAATAATTGCTAGGATCTGGCTTTTCATTGCTGATTTATATTTGGCATATTGTGATTTCCAGATATTTTTCTGATATTTTATTCTGTGAGTCAGTGTTGTTTTCATAATGAACAGAAGTTATTTTCAAACAGGCATCTAGGATTTCAGAATGAAGACACACTAATGGTTTCTTTAAAAAAAAAAAAAGTAGTTCATACTGGAAACATTGTTAGGTATACACTCCATTACCTCTGGGGAGGAACTTTGATATTTGGCCAAGGATTATGTCTCTGCTGTATTAAAATGCTTCAAAGTTCCGTATCATCTTGAAGTTTTGGCAAGCTCTGGTTTATGATATTTTGAATGTGTTTCCAGAAGAGATCAGGCAGTTTTGTTTTCTAAATCATTTTAGGCCTAGCAAATTATAGTTTACTGCCAAACACTTTGGAAATCTGTCATACACATAGAGATTTATGGATGTCCAATTTGAAATTATTAACTATTGAAACATGCATGTTTAGTAAATTTAATAAATTGAGAAGTATGTGTTTTATATGAAAATCAGCACTATTTATTATTCCCAATTTATAGCAACACTATTGTCCTTGAGATGTCTGTACATAACACACCTCTAATAGCCATGCCATGCTTTTCTTAAATTAATTCATTTATCAAGTATTTTAATATTCTGTATTTGAGGTGCGGGGCTGGAGCGATAGCACAGCGGTAGGGCATTTGCCTTGCACGCAGCTGGCCCGGCCAAGCCGGGTTCGATTCCTCTGCCCCTCTCGGAGAGCCTGGCAAGCTACTGAGAGTATCTCACCCGCATGGCAAAGCCTGGCAAGCTACCCATGACGTATTCAATATGCCAAACACAGTAACAAGTCTCACAATGGAGATGTTACTGGGCCCGCTCGAGCAAATCGATGAATAATGGGAGGACCGTGACCATGACCGTATTTGAGGTGCATTTCTCATGCAGTACTGACCGAGACCAAGAACATTCTTGCCATCATGTAAAATATACATGCTTGAAATAAGTGCTATAAAGGAAATGTACAACGTGCAGTCTTTTATAGGAAAACTGATATGAAGGACCAAAAATCTCCTTGAGGGAGATCAAAGGGAATAATAGTATCACTATAGTACTATCGTCCCATTGTTCATCAATTTGCTTGAGCGGGTGCCGGTAATGTCTCCATTCATCCACATTAAGTGCTAATGTAGCCCAGTGGCATCTGCTCACTTCAAAAACACAAGTGAGACTAGTTGTTACTGTTTTTGGTGTATTGAATATGACACAGGGAGCTTGCCAGGCTCTGTCGTGCGGGCGGGATACTCTCAGTAGCTTGCCGGCCTCTCCAAGAGGGACGGAGGAATCAAACCCAGGTCGGCCACGTGCAAGGCAAACGTCCTACCCATTGTGCTATTGCTTCAGCCCGGGAATAATAATAATAATAATAATAATAATAATAATAATAATAATAGCACTGTGATGGTGCTTGGTGTCTGCCAGGCATTTTTCCTGGTCTTTATTATATACTAACACTTTTCAGTCTTACAATAATCCTGAGGTAGCTGCTGTTTTTGTCCTCATTTTCCAGAAGAGGAAACATGACATTGGGAACTTAATAGAACTTCTCCAAGGCCACATAACAAATGAGTAATAGCCATGGGATCTGAGCACAGACAGAGAGCCAGCACCCTGGGTCACCATGCTTCCTGGGAGGAATTCAGCAGGAAAGGTCATATAAGCCCCAGGAAAGATCCTTTCGGGCAGTGGACACCCAGGTGCTCGTCCCGTAAGTGGTGCTGGAAGGCGTGGCATGGTGTTGAAGGCCAGCGTGGAGGGGTGTTGCTGAGGAGACAACATAGCCAAAGAAACCAGAGGGGTCCATCAACAGATGGACTTATTCTGGTTTTCTCACTTACACTTGAACTCAAAAATATGTTGGAGGAGAAAAGAATTAATGTGGGAAGATCAGCTAAAAGATTGTTGCAGCGATCTGCTGAGAATTGGACTGGTGTGGGCCTGGGTGCACGAGGGATCAAACTTCAGATGCTGGAAGCAGAGGAAGAAATAATATCAAGAGAGATTTGATTTGGTCTTCTTGGATTTGAGAAAAAGGAGATTACGCCTAGGTTTTTAGCTGAAGCTGCTGGCCACCAGTGGTATCAGTTGCTGAACTAACGCTAAAAGAAACCGATGAGGAATGCACTGTAAGTTCACTTTGGGTTCTGTGGAGTTTGAAGTGACTTGGGAGTTAAAGTAAGACGTAAGCTAGTCTTCCACAGTGGAAATATTTAGGACCAAACATCTCGAACAACTCTCTTAGAACTATTACTTGGTATCATCTATGTTTATCTCCTTCAATTCTTTTAATTTTTAGCTTACCATATAAAATTGGCATAATAGGTTTATTCAAAGCTAAAGGCCTCAACAGCTTAATATGACCATGTAGAAAAATAAACATCCAAAGGATGCAGCAAAAAAAAAAAAAATGATGTAAAGTAGAAAGGTTACAGGCTTGAGATAAAATTAGAAGGGTTTAGGGAGTAGATGTGGAGAAAACCCAGTATGAAACTCTGCAGTCTAAGTAGAAGAACTGGAAGCATTTAAACCAGGTGGAAGAGATGCATTCGTTGGGGGAAACAGGACAGACGGGCCCAGGAGCTTGAGGAGAACTGGCAGGTGATGAGATGGATGGCGAGGTCATGCAGCTTCCTGCTTGCTTTTATTCCAGAATTTCCTGGTTTTCCTGAATTTCTTGGAGTTCAATTTTACATGCTCTTTTATTGAATTTTAAAAGATCTTTGGAGCTGGAGAGATAATACACTTGCCTTGCCTTGCACACAGCTGACCCTAGTTCCATCCCCATGGTCCTCTGAGCCTACAGCAATGATCCCTGAGTGCAAAGCCAGGAGTAACCCCTGAGCACTACTGGTGTGGCCCCCAAAACAAATCCTCAAAAAATAGATCTTTGAATTTATTTTTCCCCCTTTTTCTCTTTCCCTTGCCTCCACCCCATTGTGTTCTTTCAATTTTTTTCCATTTGTTTCCTGTTTGAATCATTTGGATTTCCCATCTGAAAGTGACAGCTTTCATGTAAGAGATTAACTTTTAGTTTTCAAATTTCAGATTGCAGGATCATGCCCCCAACCTCAGACAGTCTCAACTCCTAAACATCAGCCACTGTCCTATCCCTACACCCCACGTGACCACTGGGTACCCTTTCCTGGGTCCCACCTCTACTCCAGGTGCTTTGAACCACACGAGAACGACTCCTTTTCCTGGATATTCTGGATATTCTGCTCTGACCTTCCCCTTTCCTGTCTTCTGCTCTCTTAATTTCCTACCTCAACAATTTGTTTTCAACAAACCCCTTAGCAGTTATCCCAGTTCTTATAGCCTTTGCAGCCTCGTGTCTTTAGGATCTCTGCTTACGATCTGTCATCATGCTAGACTTCCATCTTACCCAACTTAGAACTCACTTTGCATGACACCTCCTGCTTCTCTTAGACTGTGGGCCTCTCCTGAAATAGCCTTTGTCCAACCCCAGATCCTTGCAATCCCAGATACACCGTTCTCTAGCTCGCCTCATATCCATTCCTTGAAAAGTACTTGGTAGGGTGGGTGGGTCAGGGGCCTTGCCCAGGTGGGAGCTCAGGTTTGGTTTGATTCCTGCCATCTCCTGCTCCTCCTTTCTGTGCTCGAGGTCACTCTGCTGACCCCCAGCAAAGCTTTACCACTGGCCTGACCACAGAAGCATTAGGGCGGAACTGCCGGCCCCACCCCCCGACGACCCTGGAGAGACCCATTTAAAAAATTAACTAGTAAGGACCTGGTTTGGGATCTGCTACTGTGTGGACATTTTAGTCTTTAACTGCTGAGGGCAAAGGTCTGAGCTGGACTTCAGAGCTGTGCTGTCTTGGATAGTCGATCTATTGGAAAATGAGAGCTACATCATAACATTTATTCCGTCCACCAGCATTTTATATCATGACTTGATCTCAGTAGGCTTCATAATAATGCAAACATTCGCAAGTCAATTTTCTGTTCTCCCTGCATAATCTGGATTTAGAAAATTCCGACTTTTCTTGAGTCTTGAACTCAATTTCAAAGACCTGCGTTTGAACCATGCTATGAGGACAGTCTGTCTCCAGCTCTTAATTTCCCCTTCATTTCATGATTCTTTATATCTTCATCCAAGTTTTTCCTTCTCCTAGTCTGTGTCAAAAGAAGAACCATGTCTTTTTTTCTGAAAGTAAACCTTTCCATCTGTTTTTCCTGATACACCAGGGAGAAAGTCTGAAGAAAAACAAAAGATGAAAAGAAATTGCTATTTAATGCACACGTAGTGTTTTTATTACACATTTATTTCACTTCCATATGCAGTAATTATTTGGTTAATAGAGTTTGAAAAAGCTTGTTTAAAACATTTTTATACTCTTAATATCTCTAGTGGAGAATATATTTTGTTCATAGCCTGTGCACATGAGGGATAAAGCGGATTTGCTTTGCTTTTCTCAGAGAGGCTGGTGGTGGTGGCCGAGCACTGCGAACAGAGTCTAGAAGACTTGCTTCGAGAAAGGAAGCCCACAAGGTACTGTGCATTGTTGTGGGATGATAGAATGGAATGCGGGAATTTGCGGAGAGGGCTTCTTTTTTTCTGTTCCTCACTGAAAGACCAAAGCCAGGTGCAGAGTTTCCTTTTGGGAAATCTAATTCACAGGCCTCCTGGCCAGTCAGCACTGACAGAGTCCTGCATTCAGCTCTGTGAAGTAGGGGTTCTGCGGTGCTTTAGCAGGAAAATTCCCCAAGGAAGGCATGTGAAAACGGGGTCTCCAGCCCACGCACCGCGAGCAGACTGGGCACATTTGGCTGAGCGACTCCGTGGGTCCCTTGTTCCCTGGAGACACTGAGCACCGCACCCAGGAAAGGTCCTGGTGAGGATAACCTCAAAGTCCATGGAATCTAAAGATGCCGTTTGAAAGTTTGAAATACCTTTGCTGTTCTTGCCTTTGGGTTTCGTGTGTGGTCCCAGTGGTGGAACTCAGGGCCGCAGGCCGGCAGGGGTTCTCCCTCTGAGATGCACGCCTGGCCTTCAGTGTAGAGTGTGTGCTCAGCACATTGTGGGGAAGACACAGTGCAATGAGAGGTGTGGTCTAGTTTTTTGGGTGAGTCCACACCGGGATGCTCAGGGGTTACTCGTGGCCCTGCTCTCCAGAATTGCTCCTGGTACTGCTTGGGGGACTATACGGACCTCTTGGGGATTGAACCCGTGTTAGTCACGTGCAAGGCAAACACCCAACCCGCCATACTATCGCTCTGTCCATCCTGAATTCAGCATAAACCCATCAAAAATATTTCTTTAATGAGCAAAGAAAGTTGTGAACCCATGAAAAATACTTACCAGAAGACTATATAGGCTTGAAATCATCTGCCATTGAAGAAATGTCCTTATTTGTATATTTTGTCAATACTTTTAAATATTATTGGCATGGCTGTGTTCTGGATTTTAAAAAAAAATTCAAGTGGGAAAAGGTAGCTGTTTCTTGAAATGGTAGTAATTTGGTAGAAGTAAAACAAATACAGTGAATAAAAACACTTTCGCTGCTATTTTTAATATTATTATTAAAAATATTAGTAACATTATTTTTATTTAATGGTATTTGGAATGCAAGGTGCTTTGACTTGCTTATTTTAATGTGATCACAGTCATGAAAGTGACTTTTCTATATTTAGAAATAGCATAAACTTATTTGGTGAATGTGCTGTTTATGGGGATATTTTTGTATATCAAAAATCTTGGGTCTTATTTTTTTAAGAACTTCTTACTCTTTGTTCACTATTTCATGTTTATACTTTAATTTATATTACATTGGAGTGATGCTATAATGACCTCTCTCTCTCACTCTCTCTCTCCTCTTTCTTCCCTCTATCTTCCTTCTCTCCTCCCTTTTTCTCCTCTTTCCTTTCTCATTCCTCTTTCTTTCCTTTCTCCTCTCTTTCTCTCCTCTTTTTTCTTCTCTCTTTCCTCTCTCCCTCTTCTCTCTTTCTCTCTCACTTGTTTTTGGGCACACTTTTCAGTGCTCAGGCTTTACTCCTGGTTCTGAACTCAGGGATCATTCCTGGCAGGGCTCGGAAGGCCATACATGGTGCTGGGAATCAAACCCACGTATAAGGCAGGCGCCCTACCAGCTGTAGGAGCTATTACACCAGCCCTGAAACCAGTTCTCTGTGTAAACTGTTTGACATCAGAATTTAAAATCAACTGTAGCTGTATTTTTATTGAGGAAGTGTCAAGTTTTAGTGCTATCGTTGGAAGACTAATTTGTTCAAGAAGCTGCTCGCTGTTTATGATGAAACGACCTCAATCCTAGATAGAGGAAACTTTACCCCCATTTGCATCGGTCTAGCCCTGCCTCGGTATCGAAGCAAGAGAAGGAGAGCTAAACATCCACCCAAATATTTGCACACTAATGTTGATAGAAATATTATTCCCAGAAGCCCTGAACTGGGAGGACCGCCAGTGTCCCTCCATGCAGGAATGGATTTTTGAAGGTGGAAAGGCACGAAGTACAGATACACATGACACCACGGAGGAGACTTGAAAATATTACTCTGAGCAAAAGAAGCCAAAACTAAACAATTGCCTTGTACAGCTTATAATATGATACTTCCTATGGTGATAGATGTAAAACCAGTACTTCGCTCTGGCTGGGGGTGGGCAGTTATGCTGATTTAAAATAACCTTTAGGGATGTTCCTGGCTGCTGGGAACTATTTCCATCTTGACCGAGGTGTTGCTTGCGTGGTGTCTGCTCTGAAATGTCCCATAAAGGTGGGTGCATGGTGGTCGTATGAATCGCCCATGTTCTGTTGGAAAGCCTGTCGTACCCCTGAGCCGCAAGTACCTGCAGTAGCACTGTGATGTTGCTGAAGAGGATGCTTGATCCAGAAGCACCTCCGAGTGGTTTGCAGGAAGTAGGGAGCGCCCCTCACCCATCCCTGTCTGCTGCCCTTTCCCTTTTTTGGAAGGGGCTCAGCTCAGAGGAGAGAGCCGTGGGGACCCAGAGGACACATTTTACCACAACTCTGTGTCGCCCACCTCCCACACTTTATAAGGATACAGCAATGGTTCTCAGCCAATAACGTGAACCCCACCAGTGATGGACAGCAGTTGTACTTTTCCATGCTTGTTCCCCTTCATCCTTGTTAGACAGAAAGTTCTCCGAGTAGCAAGCACCCACAGAATCCAGTGTCGAGCTCCATGGAGGTCACTTTCCTCGGTGTCCTTATGTTTGTCTCGAGCATACGATGATATGGGTGGGAACAGAGAAAGAGCACAGGGGTCAGGGTATTTGCCTGGCCAGCAGCCAGCCTGGGTTCAACCCCTCACATCCCATATGGCCCCCAAGCACTGCCAGGAATGATCCCAGAGCGATGCTGGGTGTGACAGGCCCCAACCCTTGCCCCCCAAATCTTTATAGATGAAAGCATATTCTTTAGTAGATAGATGGACATGATCAGAATAAATGCAAATTTCCTATTGCATCTCTTGCCATTTATGTTTCTCATCATTTTCATGTATTTAAAATAGAACCTATTATAGTTATTATCCTTGTATGGGTGTTTGTAATTTTTCTCAAGTAATACATGTTTAAACACTTGTGTGCCTAAAGTACTATTTTTATGTCATTATGGTAATAGGCTAAACTTCCAATATTTCCCTCATGCATTTTGGAACATAACATTCAGCACTCTCTGCCTCTGAGTAAAATGATTCTGTCAGGTTCACTTCCAAGTTGTTATCTGATCTATTCATCTAAATTAGCTTTGTTGAAAACTATTTGACTTTCCACATATTTGGATTGCATTCGCCTCCAGTAACAGCAGTTTCATGCGCAGAATTTTTGTGCTGCAATTTTAATTAATTCTATAACCTGTTTATGGAAAGTGAGATGTTCTTATGACTTATAAATCAGTTCTTTCCCCTTCTGCCAAAAGCAAGCACCCTGCACCTGTAAGAAAGGCTGATGCAAAGTAAACAGGAAATCTATTTAGTTGGGGTTGCAATTTGAGACCCCAGGATCTCTGTTTGCCCATCTGTCTCTAACTGTTGCAAAGCTGTAAGCTGCCCATTGTCTGGGAGTTATTTGCAGTCGATTATCTAAACATAAATATTACTCAAGAGATATATTTTGCTGGACTTAAATTTTGAAAAATATTTTAATAATTTTTCAAATGAAATCAGTGGGACAAGAGAGAAGAGACCTACATCTATTTCTTCCTTAAGGGTTTTTTTTTTTTTGGTAGCAAATTTTATACCACTGAAAAACTACACTGTGCTAAGCGATCTCTGCAATTCGCATTACAGGTGGAAGCTGAATATCTGGAGGCTGCACGTCCAGTTAGAAGAGCTAGCCTTCCTCTCTTTAGCCTGTTAATGGCCGCAGAACTCTGGAGAGTTCGTATTACCCAAACAGAAAATAATTTTTTGCTATGGCTTGGAGACTGTCAAGGCAGGGTTCTTTTTAAATAAGGTAATGCTGCTTGTGCCGTTAGTTTATTCTGTGTTTGAAAGAGAAAGCTCCTTCCCATTTTCTTTAGAGTCCATTCAAGGTTGACTACAGGAATTAACTTTTGGAGAATGCTGCTCTCATTTCACTGGCTTTTCTACTGATTTGTGCCAGAGTTGCATCTTGCCAATATTTCTCTCCAGTTTCAGTTAAATGATCAAAATTATTTTTTGGAAAGGCAGAGGCATGGAATTCAATTAAACTCCTTTAACCAGTAGGTTTCAAGAAAACAGTACAAAATTTGAAGGATTTGTTTGAAGTCATCTCATATTTGGTGCCTGAATCTACTTAATTGCTACCCTAAAGCCAGATTCAAGATACTGAGCAGTGGAGAAATTTAAATCTCAACGCTTTCCTGAAATACCTTCCAGAGAGAGAGAGAGAGAGAGAGAGAGAGAGAGAGAGAGAGAGAGAGAGAGAGCATCACCACTCTTATTAAAGTGAGCATGAGGAAATGGTTTGCATTTTGAGTCTAGATGCTATTTGGAGTGTTTCCCTTTACTGTTAGTCTTATTCAGAGCATGTACATTTGCCTAATCTATAAAAGTGCCAACAAGTTTAGCTCACGGACAGATATTCCGCAGAGTTCTGGCGCTTGCAGTGGAGTCTGCATTGTCCTTCGCTGTGCACGGGGAACAGGAGAGCAGTGCACGCATACTTATTTAATAGAGTGAAGTCTGTCATGTGTTCTCAGGGTTATGGTTTTGAAAATTTACCAGAGAGCCATCGCGTTGCTGAGGTTGTACAGGGGACTTTGATGGAAAGCAGGCTGTTTCCTCAGCTGTTCAGTGGTATGATGGAAAACACGATCTGACTTCTCGGATGAGCAAGTTTTATTGGCCCCTATTAAAAGATTGCCTACTCACTGAGATATTGAGAGGAAGGCTGGATACAATGCGGAAGACTCCAGAACTGGATAGAGAGCACCGGGTCATCATCAATGGGTGGGAAGCGGGGGGGGGGGGGGGGGGGGGGGGAAGAGAGAGACAGAGAAAGAGAGAGAGAGAGAGAAAGAGAGAAAG